AACCTCCAGTTCCAACCATTACACTGAAAACTAGAGGATATCGCTTAATAATATCCCACAGTGCATGTCTACCCCATTTTCTTTACCCATTCATCCACTGGTAGTAATCTACTTTGATTCAGTATCTTTATTATTATGCTAAGTGCCACTATCAGCATGGACACACGGGTTTCTTTTTTATGTAGTTGATACTTTTTCTTAAATGTGTGCCTGAAAGTAGGGAAGTTAGTCCTATGGCAGTTTTATTTTTAATTCTTTAAGGAACCTCCATTCTACTTTCCATAGTGGCTTACAAATTTGCATTAGAGTGCAAGAGTTCCCTTTCTTCCGCATCCTCACTGACATTTTTATTTTTTGACTTTCTTTTTTTTTTTTTTTTGGTTTTTTTTTTGGTTTTCTCCGGTACCGGGAACCAAACTCACGACCTTGTGCTTGCCAGTCAGGCGCTTTTGCCGCTGAGCTAAATCCCCAGCCCCTATTTTTTGACTTTCTGGTCACAGCCATTCTGATTGGAGTGAGACAGTCTCCTTGCATTAGACTTGCATTTTCCTAACAGCTAATGAAGTTGAGTGTGCTTTCCTATACTTGCTGACTAGTTTTATTCATTCTTTTGAGACATCTCTATTTATAATTCTGCCCATTTTTAACTGGATGATTTAGTTTTTGTTAGTTAAATAATTTAGTTTTTGTTGGATAAATTTTAAGTTCCTTATGTAGTCTGGATATTAGTCCTTTGATGAGTAGCGTACAAATTTTTCTCTGGAGTTTGTTTCTTCAGTGTGTGGTTTGTTTCCTTTGCTGTGCAGAAGCTTCTTAGTTTATTTGTTTGTCAATTTTTGCTTTTGTTTCCTATGGTTTGAGTGTCTTTTCCAAATAACTTACTGTCAATAATACTGTCTTGAATTGCTTCACCTAAGTTTTTTTCTCAGAGTTTCATAGTTTCCAACCTTTCATTGAGGTCTTTGACACATTTTGATTTTATTTTTGTATAGAGTGAGACACAAGGGTCAAGTTTCAACCTTCTGCATGTGAATATCCAGTTTTGTCAGAATCATTTATTGAAGAAGATGTCCTTTCTCCAGTGTGTATTTTTGGTAACTTTATGAGGAATCAGTTGACTCTAAATACATGAGGTTATTTCAGGGCACTTTATTCTTTTTCACTGGTCTGTGTCTCTTTTGATTTCTGTCTCTATAGTACATATTGAATCCAGGTAGCGTAAAACTTCCAGTTTAGTTATTCTGCTCAAGATTGCTTTAGCTATTCCAGATCTTTTGTGCTTCCACATGAAGTTTAGGATCCTTGTTTTCTAATTCTAAAATGCCTTTGGTATTTTGATGGAGATTGCATTGAGTCTATAGATTGTTCTGGGTGGTGTGGATATTTTATAGTATTAATTCTTCTTATCCACAAATATTTCCCTTTGTATGTAATAAAATTTCATTTATTGCAATTTAGTAATTTGCATTGATAGTTTCCTTTCTTTCTTTCTTTTGTTCTTTCTTTCTTTCTTGTACCTATCATGAATAGTTTTCCTTTCATGATTTCATGCTCAGCAATCTTATTAGTGGTATATAAAGATGCTTCTGAATTTTTCTACACTCAGTTCATATCCTGTAACTTTACTAAAATCGTTTGTTAGTTCCCATAGTCTTTTTGTGGAATCTTCAGGTTTCTCTCTATAAACAATCATATCATCTGCAAACAGGGATAATTTAATTTTCTCTTATTTATATGCCTATTTATATTCTTTTATTTCTTCTTCTTGCCCTATTTTTCTGCCTAAAATTTCCAGTACAGTGTTGTCTTATCCAGATATTAGAGGAAGGGCTCTCAGCTCTCCTTGTTTGGTATGATATTGACTATTGGACTTGTATGTAGCTCCACTTAACAGATGATATGGTTCATATCTGCTTTTTCTTGATTTCTTTGATTGGGATGGTCTGTCCATGGACGGAAGTGGAGTTGAGCATTTCACTGCTGTTGTACTGGAGATCGAGCACTGATTGCTTTATAACACTTCATACTCCAGCACTGATGCACACACTTTTTCAACTTTCATGCCTGCTTGTCCCAATAACACCTTGGTTATTGCATGGTGACTTTCTTTGTCTTTTGTAACAGTTTCTTTTTTTTATTTTCAAGTCTTTTATTTCTGATATAAGACTAGTTCCTCCTTCTTGCTTTTACTTTCTGCTTCTGTGGAGTTTCTTTTTCTATCCTTTCATTTTACATTGTGCTTTCTTGTAGATAGTCATTTTGTAAATTATTTCTATTTGCATCTGTACCTGTAATTTTGTAAAGTTATTTCTATTTGCTTTAAATATTCTTTGGGCTGTTCTTTCTCTTTCACTCTTCACCTTTGTGGTTTAATCATTTATTGTACTGATAAGGTTTTTTTAGTCTTTTCTATTTTATTTTCTGCACCTGCTCTTTTTTTTTTTTCTTTTTTCGACTAGGAATCGAACTCACGAACTCATGCTTACCAGGTAGGCCACTGAGCTATATCCCCAGCTCACACACCTACTTTTCCAGTGTATTTCATACTTTCATATGTTTTTACGATGGCAATTGTCTTTTTTGTTTGCTTGCTTGTTTTCTTTCATTTTAGGTGTAGCACTTTCTAAAACATATTTTGTAAAGCTGGTCTTGTGGTAGGTGTTTCTGCAGATTTTAGAATTCTGTCTAATATTTTCCTTTGTTGCTGTTGTTTCTATTTTTTGTTTTGTGGTGCTCAGAATCAAACCCAGCACTTTTCACATACTAGGCAAACGCTCTTCTACTGAGCTACATCCATGGCCCCTGTCTTAAAATTTCAACAGTTTGACTATGATATGCCAAGATCTTTTCTAGTCATATCCATTTGAGGTGCTACGGGCCTCTTTCACTTGGGCATACGAATGTTTCCCAAGATTGGGGAAGTTTTCATTGATGAACTTTTCTAGGCTCTCCTTCCTTTCTTCTCATTTAGGTATTTAAAAATGTAAGTGTTTATTTGATCATGTTCCAAAGGCCTCAGTAACTACTTTAGTTCCTTTTACCTCTCTTTTTCTTTCTTTCTTCCTGTTTTTCTTTTTTTTCTGACTGAGCTATTTAGAAATATCTGTCTTGAAGCTCAGATATTCTTTCTCCTGCTTGATCAATATTTTTGTTGAAGTTTCCAACTATATTTTTAAAAACTTATAAAATTTTTTATCTCTAAATTTTCTGCTTTTTTTTTTTGGTCATTATTTTAATCTCTTTGCTGGATTTCTCATTCAAATCATTTGTTGTTTTTCTAATTTCATTAGACTGTATTTTCTTGAATCTCATTGAGTCCCCAAATATTTATACTTTTGAATAATCAGGCATTTCATCAGTATAGTTTTCTTTGATATCTGTTACTAGAAAAGTATTGTGTTCTTTTGGAGGCATTGTTTCCTTGTTTTTTCAAATTTCTTGTCACCTATTTTGATATTTGTGCACTGGATGAATCCGTTCAGCCTGCCACGGTGGCCGGGGGCCTTTCATGGTAAGCAGCTTTCTCCTGAAGATGTATCTGGGGTGTTGGTTTCATATGCTGTACTGGCTTTGGTTCTAGCTGGGCACCTGCTATCATCTCTCTTTGGCTTCTTCCACCATAGTTAATGGCTTTGGGTTCAACATATGTCACAGCAAGAGCAGAGAGACCCACATCTCTAGGTCCACTTGTGAGTGGAGATATTAGTGACCTAGAAGAGATGGGGTACACGGCAGAGCGCCCCTATGTGATCACCCCAACCATGGAGCAATGGCATTAGAAATGGGGGAAGTAGGAGACCATGCAGCACTCACCCCAGTTCCAGCATGGACCCACTCATGGCTGGGCTCAAAGGAGACACCGGTATGGACCACTGTCCTCTTACCCTACTGGTGATGCAGGCCCACAGGCATCTGGCCTGAGGTGGCGAGTACAGCAAGGACCCCCAGACACAGACCCCACCTGCCTCTGACCAAGCTCGAATAGAGGCGTTGCAGGACTGCACAGCAGATGGCAACAGCAGCATAGCAATCTCAGTGTCTGTCCAAGCCAGTGGCAGCACAGATCCACTCCTCCATCTGGGAGGTAGAAATTCGGCCCTTGGCTGTGTGCTACTCTCAGTGCCATGGGCTGTCCCAGCCTTGAATCCTCAGGACCAGTGCCTCCTGTCTCAACCCTTAGAGCAGTGCAGCCTCCCTTCCATGGGGATTTCCCTGTCTGTGTTGTGAGGGGCATTGTCCGGGCACTGAATCACAGTCACCTTGGACTCCTGAGGTCATAGTCCCTTGCTGGCCTAGTGGAGAGGCTGTGAGGTTCTGGGGATGGCCACACGCAGATGTTTATGACCTGGGTTACTGTTCACTCAGACATACCTCCTTTCCCTTTCCAGGGGTTACAGGAAGGAGATGTGAATTCCTTCTCCAGAGCAAAACTATCCTTCAGTCCCTAGGCTGTTGCCTAGCCAGACTGCAACACCCTGAGACTGTCTAGTGGCCAAGGGTGGCCAGTGTCTGAGCTGATGGGGTGCCCTAGCACCACACTCTTGGTTCCTCTCATGTGTTGAGCTGTTTCCAGAAGGAATCCCAGCCTTCTCCCCTGCCCACTGTCCTCGAATGCAGCAGCCACCTGTAGCTTTGGCTCTTCCTTTTGGAAGAGGCCACAAGTGCTGAGTAACTCTGTATGACCTCCTCAGAATCCCACCCACAAGATCCCTTTTACTCCTCAAGGACAGAAATTGGCATGTCTTACAAAACCACACTGTCAAACTCTTGCTACTAATTTTTCTGTCCTTGTGCCTCTACATTTTCAGTAATGAGACTCATTCTTTTACCCATAACACTAGATGCCAAGTGAGACCACTATCCTTTGAAAAAGCAGCACTATAATGTGCCCGGCTTTATTCTGTAGCAGCTCATACACAGTTAAATACAGGAAGCACCACTGGCTCTATTTGTGGGCCATACACTGACTTCCTGTTGATGCTTCCTCCCTCATATTACAGACAAAGCTCGGATGGAGAGCCCAGCTATATCCATTCCAAGGTGCTGCCTGGGGGCTGGGCAGGAAGAACTCATCCTCCTCCAAGAGAAAGTCAAAAATGGGAAGCTGTCTGTGGATGAAGCCCTGGAGAAATTCAAGCACTGGCAGATGGGAAAGAGCAGCCTGGAAATGATCCAGCAGGTAACGGTGACCCCTGGGAACCCTTGGACTGTTCCCTGGTGCACGGACTCCTAAAGGTTTCGTGAGGTCGAGACTGCATGAGAAATATAGGCAGTTGTGCTGTGATTAACTGACAACTACAAAAGGTGTTTGTAAAAATCAGTTTAAAAAGATGAAAGTAATATGGAGATTTCACCTTTCCCAGTTCATTTATGCAAACTCAGTCCTGGAGCCTGCTGATCAAAGCTAACCCCTAATCAGGTGAGAATATCTGTGCTTAGTACAGGGAATGCTTGAGAACATGACAGGCAAAAGTTTCATATATATATGATACCAGAAGATTAAAATCATATGTGTGTGTCAAGTAGTGTTTTTTGATCAGTGCCAAGAATGTTATCTTCACATAAACGTGCTTTCCTGTCTTCTACAAACATAATTTATATCTGAGGAGAGGATAAAGGAGGAGGTTCTGAGACGGGTATGGGGACAAAGTGCATCCACCCCTCCCCGGCATTTCCCCTGAAGGGCATCAGGACCAGACTCTCTATCTTGCAGTCCTTCTCACCCCTGAAATATATTGGAGCATCATCTTTCTTCTCATCACAAAGCCTCCTGACCCAGAACCTGGCTCCCAGGTGGTGAAGCACATTTAATAAGCTATTGAGAACAAAATGTAAATGATCATAGCTTCAGCCACCACCTTTCCCAAGAGATAAATTGTATTTAAAACACAATGCTTAAAAGAACATTTTAAAACAACAGGAAAATGAGTCACAGTGATGACATTTCAAAGAATCTGGCATAGAAGCAAGAGACAGTGCAAGCGCAGGGACTTTCCAAATACTTCTGAATTTATGCCTGGTCAGAAATTACCTGTCTCCAGTGGCAGCTCTGGTTGTGGGCTGAGGCTGGGCCTGGGCCAAATTATGCAATGCTAAGTTATGCAAAGACAGTTATTCTGGCAAACAAACACCAAGGAATGTCCACTGCAGAGCGCTGCTCAGAAATGTGACAGATGTGCCATCTCACTCCTGGCCAACATCGTCACCCTGCTGGTCTCTCTCATCCTGAAAGGGGCAAAAGGTACTGAAAGACAAACCCCAAACTCCTTGTTCCAGCAGTGTTACATCATATAAGTTTTATTGATATAAGCAAATGCCTTTAATAAAAATTTCAATTCAGAATAATACAGCTTCTTGGAAATTATTTCACTAGTCATCCATTAAACCCTTGGTTGTTTCTATTTTATTTGCATATTTATATCCCATCTTTTGGGGAAAAAATTTAAGGAGAACTATACTTACTCCATGGAGACCCATGTAACTCATCAAACAGACAGCAAAAATGAGATCATGGATATAAAAAAAAAGTTTTTTCTTTAACCTGTAAACACAGGCCAACAGACATTGAGAGTACTTTCCATCAGAGCTAAAAGTTTACTGACTATGACTGAATCCATCAGTCCTTAACAGAGACAGGGACAGAAGTTTAGAAAGAAAATAATAGCAATAATAATAGTAATAATGATAATATCCATCTCCACGTCCCCAACACACAGACACACACACACACACATACACACAGTCCTATATACTTTCAATGTTTCTCTTATAGTTGGAAAAGTACTCATTTGTGCCCCAAGGATAAGTTTATCATAGGAAACTGAAACAATTATGAGAGAGGGATTGTGCTGGTTCATTACCAGAGCTTCTAGAAGGTGGAGAGCCAGGTAGCACCCTGGCATCAGGAGAGGAGACAAGAGTGCTCCTGCTAAGCTCCTCACTAACGACCCCACCAGGGTGACTTGACTAGGCACCTCTACTCCAGGAGAAGATCTGGGAACAACTCTGTAGGAAAAGCGTTTCTAGGTTCCCAGGCAACCCACCAGGAACAGAGTGACTCCTGGCTGTCTTCTAAAAGATTTACTGCCTTCTAGCTTGTTGTTCTCTTGTGAGTTAAAAGGATAATGATGTAGAATGTCTGGAAAACAAGGAAAGATCACAAATGTGGTTTTTTGTTTGGTTTTTTTTTTGTGTGAGGTTTTTTTTGGGGGTGTGGGGTTCCGGTACCAGGGATCAAACTCACAACCTTGTGCTTGCCAGCCAGGCACTGTGCCACTGAGCTAAATCCCCAGCCCCACAAATGTGTTAAAAAGGAGAGCTGAGCTGCACATTATTTGTTCCCAAATCCCTGTCTTAACACTTAGAACATAAGGAAGGAAGGTCCCCACCAGGGCCAGGACTGGGCTCAGACACCAGGAAGCCATCCCTGTATAATGTAGCTCTGATGCATCAGGTACCCAGCAAGCAAATGTAGACCCAAGGGAAAGGCTCCCAGAGGGATTAGTGCTCTGGTTCTTGTCCTGACTCCACCAGTGGGCATTGTCTAACTTGAGAAAGTGACTTCACCTCTCTCTGCATCTCAGTTTCTACATCTACAAAGTGAGATGGTGATATTTTACACCCCTTCCTGTGATGATGAGGACTAAGATGGCCCTCATAAAGCACCAAGAATGGGTGGTCTAGACAACATACATACCAAATGAGCTCCAACCCATAGTGTTAATGTTTTCACCTTGAGCCATGAAAAATATTTAAATCTTGACTTCCATGTTCTGGTCCTTTATTCTATGTCCTGTGTCCTCATTGTAAGGAAAAGCTACGCCAACTACGAGACAGCATTATTGGGAAGAGGCCAGAAGAAGAAAATTTCTGTGGTAAGTGAGATCTGTCTGCTCCTCAAAGATGGTAGAAGGAGGCAGTGGTAAACACTAAACCACTTCCGGCCTGTGCCACATCACTTCCGGCAGTCTGCCTGGAGCCATTGCTGTCTGTGTTCAGGTTGCTCATCAGCAAAGTAAGAATGATTGTATACACACACTGAGAGTGCACACTGAGTTCACATATGAAGTATTTCTATTCTCTGACCTGCAATACCCTTCCATCAAGGCTTATTACTCTATTTTGATTTCTCTATGAGCTATGTTATAAATAGGACAATTTTGTTCCAATTTTTTAATTAGTCATTATATAGGGAATCAAATATTAAGGAGTCATACTTTTTAATAAGGTGGAATACTCTCAATATAGTCAATTCTCACAATTGTCCACATGTGGATCATTTAAAATTATAGCTCTCATGTTGGTTTTTCCTAAAGCTCATGTGCTTCCTAGCAGTGCATATTCCCCAGGACAATCATTATTGGTTGCTTTGGTATTAGGGGCTGCATTTGGTGCTAACACAAACCAAATGTTATTAAGATGGCAAATTTTCTCCAAAGATGAACAGCACATTCCAAAATTGAAAATAAATTATATTGTCACTATCTGACTGCTCTTTTCCCAAGTCTCTACTCCTGCATGGATAATTAAAAACTAACAACCACTAAAGAAGTTTAAGAGCTTCCAACTCTTCTGCTTTCAATAACACTGCATAGTTTTTAGGTAGTGGGAATTTCATGCTGAAATTCAGGGTTTGGTAATTTATTTCTCTTCATATTATTGAACTGTTATCTACTTTTCCATAGAGATTCTTTAAACTCTGAGAAATGTTTCCTAAAGCAGAAATATACTTCCTCAAATAATTAAGGTCATCAACATGAGACTAATTTATAGATAACAGAGCTCCACAGACTTTCATTCTAATGTGAAATGAGACTCAAGTAAGGAAAACGACTTTTAGAAACTAAAATCCCAAGGTCACATAGATTAGAAACTGCCACCCACTCCCATTTGAGTTCAAGATCGATGTTCTTAATTACTAGTGTTAGCTGAGAATCCATTAGTTCTTCCTCAGCTACAGGATTGAAGTGTAGCAGACATGTAGACTGCTTGCATGGGACACTGACCAGAGTCTGGGAGTGACAGAGTTCAGCAAGCAGATCACACACAGGCAAAGACCACCAGCCCAGAAGGAGCAGCGCTCACAGCTACACTTGCCTCTGCCAGAGATGACTTCCTGATCACAGACTCAGCAAAGCAAGAGGGTGGTGTGGAGGCCCCACTTCAGGGCAGTGACAGCCACCAGGCTGTGTGGAAGGTCCCTGGAGAGCAGTGACCCAGAGACCCATAGGAGGAACTGTGGAAATCTGAGGTGTTCATGAATATAGTAAGAACACTCAAGGAACACACTCAAGGCCTAGAGCTTGAAAACAAAACAGAAACAATGGAGGAAAAGCCTTGCTGAGGAGAAGCCCTGCTAGGGAACTGTGTGCTCCTGTCCTGCCACAGTAGAGAGATCTTAGCATCTTCCTAAAATACCGGGCATCCTTAAGCAATACCCAAGAGCTGCAAGGAAGAAGCACCTTGGTTTAGAGCAGCACCTACCCTAGCTATGCTGTAAGAAAGCCTACAACCAAGCCCTACAGGAGCCACACAGGAGATAGCATTTGTAGGCTAAGTCTCCCAAGTGCTTTATAAATCACCTTGGACTTTCTACAGATCAGTACTGAGAAAAGAATAATATCAGATCTATACAAGTTCATGTCAGAAATTCAGCAGCCTGCTGAAACAAGAAGATACACTCATCTCAAGAATATTACAAGATCCATAATATACCACATATTGTCACATGCAGGTTTCAACTACAAAGGAAAAAGAAAGAGAAAAAGGTAACATACAAAGAAATAAGAATCTGTGGTGAAGGAAAAGAAACCCATGAATAGAAACTGTACTGGAGCTGGCCCAGTGTTGACTTTAGCAAAGGTTCGAAAGCAACTTTTATAACATTGAATTGATCTAAAGTGTGGTTTCAAGGAATGAGTAAAAAGGAAATATTAACAGAAAAAATTGAAAGTACGTAAAAAAACAAGAGGAAATTTTTTTAATGAAGTTATACAATATAAGAAACGAAAATTTATCAGATGAACTTATTACCAGATTAAGTATAGCAAAGACTTAGTGAACTTGAAGACAGAGCAACAGAAATTTTTCAATGCAATGAGCAGGACAATAAAGGATTTTGTGTTAGACAGTATAACCAATCTAGCCTGCCCGTGCTTAGCCCTTGGAATGAGAAAAGAGAGAGTCTGGGACAAAACATTTATAACAAAATCATGTCCAAAATATTGCCACATTTATTGCAAACTACTTCCATAGGTTCTGGGCACATCAGATAAAAACAAACAAAAAGCCCAGTTAGCATTGTTAAGAAAATGACCTCTATGCAATTTGTGGTGAAACTACTTCAACCCATGGTAAAGGGAAAATTCTTAAAAGCAACCAAAGTAAAATGATACATTACTTATACAGGTAGAAGATAAAAATATTTACTAAATGTTTATTAGATGGATGGAAAGCTAAAGACAATGTAATAATGTCTTCAAAGATCAAAAAGAAAAAAAAACCGCTGAACTCTACATACAGGGAAAATATCTCTCAAAAATTGGTGAAATGAAGATATGTCCAGACAGGAGAATTTGTAATAAAATTGCAACACACCAAATGCTAAAGAATATCATACAGGTGAAAAGAAAATTAATAAAAAGGATGTCAGACAGATCCACACTAAAGAAAAAGCACAATAAAAATTATACAAAACAAGTAGACATAAAATATTAATTTTCTTTCTTTTTGTAAAAACTATTTCAAAGACTACTATTTAGAGCCAAAAATATTAACACCTAAGCTGAAGTGTAAAATATGTAAAGGACAAAGTACTAAAATAATTGCACAAGGAGCAGAAGGTGAAGACAAATGAAGGTTTGCACAGTAAAGTGTAAAGTGTAGATTGTGAGACTCAGTTATGGAAAGGACGAGATACAAAGTATGGGAGCCAGACGTCAGGCATGAAGCACCAAGGCGTGCACTGTTGGCTCAAAACAGGCTCTAATAAAGTTGTATATCTTAGTCAAAAATTAACTTATAAAAATAAATGAAGGAAATGATCTCAAAAACTAGTAGAAGAAATGAAATTGAGCGTTAAAGCACTATTTGATTCACAGAAAATAAAGCAAGAAAGTCACAGAGAGGAATATAAACAAAATGGGTAAGCAGAAAACCAAGAACAAGACGTTCTTGTTAAACTGGGATAGATCAATAATTATGTTAAATCTAAATGGTTTAACAACTTAATTTGAAAGAAAAATATTGTCAGGTTGGATAAAAAAGAAATATTAAAGTTTTGGCTGAAAGACAAGCATCTTAAATAGATAGTTTCAAACTGAAGGGACTAAAAGCTCTGCTATGCCAAAAGTAAGGAAAAGAAAGCTGTCATGACCATTCTAACATGCAACAAGTTAAACTTCAGGAACAAGAGGGGTACAAAAGATATCGCATAGTGATAAAAGGGCAGTTCACCAGGAAGAGAGAACCATAAATACCTGTGTATTTTCTGCTATGCAGACCTGTGAGTTTTATCAAACCTCATCAAACAAAATCTGACTGTACTGAGATGTTTTCACTTTTCTCGTAGTAATTAATAGAATAATAAAAATTAATAAAGAGATAGATGGCCTGAGGTACGCTATCAACTAATGTTACCTACTGGACATTTGCTGAACATGGCATCCATCCAAAACTTCGGAATATACGTTCTTCAGAGGTGTGAACAGGAGAGTCTCCAAACAGACACAGCTGAATCATTGAAAGCTTTCAACTAGTATTAGAAGATTAAAACCTTCAGCATGTGTTCTCTGAAGTATTTCAGTCATTTGAAGTCATAGTCTACCACCACCACAAAGTGAACTGGAGAATAATAAGATATCTGCAAAATCTCTCCAAATGTTTAGGAATCAAATTAATCATGAAACAAATAGGAAATCCCAAAAATATATTTCAACCTGAATGACTGGAAAATCTACATCAGAATTTGTGGTATTCAACTAAAGTGGTTATGGAGTTAACAGTTTAATTAGAGGGAAATTTATGACCATAGAAGTTATACTAGAAAAAAGTTTTAGATGCACACCATAAGTTTCCACCTTAGGAAACTAAAAATTAAAAAGCAAACTAAATCAAAAATAGAAAATAAAAAGGAGTAAGATCAGAAATCATCAAAAATGGAAAAAGATGAACAAAAGAAATTTTACAAAGTCAAAAATAAGTCATTTGATCATAAATAAAATTGATAGACTCATGGCAAGAATGATCAAGAAAAAAGAAAACAAGAATTTTCCATAGCAAGAACCAGTGCAGGTCATCACAGCAGAGCCTGTGAGTAGTGGAGAGATACTGTGAGACCATGATCAACCTCAAGCCAGCATATTTAACAACTTGTATGAAAAGAAAAAAATTTAAAAATTGAATCTAAACTGACTTAAAAAGGAAAATTTTTTAAAGAAACACTTCTCTGAGTACACTTCTTTGGATCCTCCTGACTTTTAGAACTTTGTCAATATTTTATATATTTAATAGATAAGGAAGAGACAAGAAAGGAGGCAAAACAGAATATAAGCAGGTACAAATTAGCACAAATAACATAGCCACACAGAAGGGAGATGTAAAAAGGAACAGATTTATAAAGCAGAGTATTCTAAGGTTAAAAGTACAACAGAACAGTAAATAAAAATTGTGCTTTACTCCAGTAAGTACGGTTATTTTCTCCACATAGATATAGTTTAACATTTGGAACTACTTTCTGGATATTATAGGATTGAGCTGTCATGTAAATGTACTGCAGATCAAAAGCCATTTTTACTATTGCCAGAGAATGGAATTGGTCTTAAAGGCTGGCATGAACTCTGCCTGGAATCCCATGCAAAAGTGTAACTAGTCCTGGATATCTATATCCTGACTATCTATTTATCTGTCTATCTATCTATCTCTCTATCTATCTATCTCTCTATCTATCTATCTATCCATCTATCTCTCTACCTACCTACACAGGAGCTATCTGCAGTGACAGTCCAGCTCCAGTGAGCACACTTACCACCCAGTCTTAGCTGACAAAGCATGAAAGAAGTGCTGGCATCATAGATCCTTAAAAGGCAAATGAAACCAGGATGACATAGCAATAGACAACCATACTGAATGCTATTGTGAGACTGTCAGACTTCAGTGTTGTTTGGGATGCAGAGCTGGGCATACCTGACACATGTTGCTGATGGAAGTAGAATATGATGTGATGACTTGGAAGATCATATATGTGCTTAATACATGGCATAGGCATGCCAAGTGAAAACATATATCCACCAAAGATTTGTGCATAAAAGTTTATAGCAGTTTGATTCATAATAGCCACGCTGGACACAGTCCAAATGTCTAACAGGAAAGTAGATAATTACATCATGGTATATTTTTACTATAGGGTACCACTCAGGCAATAAAAATAAATACCTACTATTATACAGAACAATATAAATGAACCTCCAGGTACTGAGCAAAAGACACCAGACACAAGAGAGTATATGATATGCAAGATTCCATTTATCTCAAATTCTAGATACTGTAATAATAATCTAGACAAAACTATTTACTAGACATTGAAATCAGACCAAGGTCATCATGAGTAATGTTCTGATGGGGTATGACATAAGATATAAGGAAATATTCTATGATATGAAATGGTCTCCATCCTCTTGGGTTGATGGGTGTGCAGCTGTATAGATTTGTCAAAAGTCATCAACTTATACATTTAGGCATGTTTAATTTGTACTGAACATAATTATTCCTGAATAATGTTGATTTTTTAAAAAATGGAGGATCTTAGTCTAAAGGAATAGTAGGCAGAGTAGCAAGATTTATTAACTGTCAGAGATACCAAATATTATAAGTTTGAGACCAGTGTTGGAAGAGAAAAAGAAACAAACAATTAGAGAAATCATTTCAGACTTGGCAGCCACAGTAGATGACTTTGAGGTTAGGGTTAATATTTTAAGACTAGACTGAGATTTCATAGTCCCTTTAATAAAGGCACAAAGTAGGCAAAGGATAAAAAAGAAAGCTTTGGATAAATACTGAACAAAACCTAATCAAATATGCTTTTTCTTTTTTTTTTTATTGTCTTTTAGATAAACTCACCATTGTACACCACCCGACCGGTAAGTGTTTGGCATTAATTGAAATATTTAAAACTAAGACAAAGTATGTAAACCAACTTTAATTACTCTGAATCCAATAACACTGGGCAAGTCAGTGTGAAAATTCACCTAGATTTGATATTTATGTAAAAAACCACTTGATATCCAAAATAAATGCGAAGTGACTCGAGAAAACCACTGCTAGAGGCATTGTAACCAAGTAAAAGAAGCAAGAGTTTTGGCTCTGATGACCTGGTTGTTCGCAGCCTGCTCCGTGTGACCTTTGCACATCCCATACACTCTGCAACCTGGGTAGACTTGTGCATGGGAATTTGCTGTAGAGACTGGCATTGGTGCAGATGTGTGGAAATGGAAGCTGACACTTGATATTCAGAAGTTAGAGACTGGAAATAGGAAGAGAGCCCAGGGAAAGGAGGAAACAGGAGGGAGAAGGAAAAAGGAAATAAAAAAGACTGAGATGCAGTGTGTTTCCTACAATGAAATGTACTTATTCTTTATAGCAAACATACACTAATGAATGTATTTATTCTTTATAGCAAACATACACTAATAAAAAAGGGAAAAAGAATAGAAGAGCTGATAAAATGTGTTTAAGACTCAAGAGAGTGGTTCGCTCAAATGCAGTGGGGTGGAATGTGTGTGAGGAGGGCACTGAGAAGTAATGGCCAGTGAGGGAGTTGAGAGAATCCAGAAGCTGCAGTCTACAGCCTGGACCACAGCCTGAGCAAAAGGGGAAAAAGCAAGAGAAGCACAGTTGCAGCTGGGATGGAAAATAGAGAACCCAGGGCAAAGGCACTGGGAGGGGCAGGAGCAAGCATCCCCAGAGGAAAGTGCTTTGCCCCTGGGCCACTTCTATGAGTGCTGGGGGTGGGAGGAGGAGGAAGAGGAAGAGAGAAATGACCTAGAGAAAGTCATTTCTCAGAGGAGTTCAGAAGATCATTTGTACCCTGAAGTGACTCCTCAGTGTCCTACCCAAGTCAATCCATTAGAGTAGGAAAAATTAATAATATATTTGCCAAAGGTATGTTTCCAGTAAGCTCTTTTATGTTTTATAATTTTTTCTGCTTAGCCTTTGTACTCACCAGTTTTTCAAGTGATGATTCTATGAATCATGAATATGTGAATAACTGAAGAGATATTAACAGAATGTGTATTTCTAGGTACCACTTCCCGCAATGAAAACATGTTATGTAACAGCCCCTTCAGCAATAAGGTATGTTCTCTTTTTTCTAATGGCTATAAACTATAAAGAAAGAAGTTCTCTGTTGAGATAGAACCTGAGACCCTTGACTCTATCTGTCCTTTGAAATAAATATAAACCAAATACGTTAAATGAACATTTGTGTACAAAATTCATGAGCAGTAACTTAAAGAAATTAAGGAAATTAGCAAGACCCTGCACAAAACACACACACACACACACACACACACACACATACACACAGAAAGAGCTGTGGATGTTGCTCAGTACAAAATTCCTTGTTTAAATCCAATCCACACACAATAAAAGAAAAGAATTTAGTTATTTGGTGGGGGAAGCAAAAAAGAAAGACAAAACTCAAAAGAGTTGTTGAGGTCAAAGCATGACTGAATTCAACATGTAGAGAAAAAATACATGTCAGGATCTGATCAGCCTTCCAATCTCCTAAAACGAGTGCACAAGGAAGGCTTAGATAAAAGAGACAAATAACATGGAGTCTGGGGATCCAGAAAGGTCAAAAGTCTCTTGGAGCTAAAATAAAGACTTCTCTGGACTATCTGTATTTATTGGGCCCTTAACAAATCGGGGGGATGCAGGAAGTGGAAGGCACATTTGAGGCAAAGGCCCAGAAAATGACCAGGCCTTGAGAAGTTAGAACAAAGACATTCTAAGCAGCAAATCTTGCTATTTGGGAAAACTGTCTTATCTCATAGGTTGGTGATTATTGCCCTGGAATAGGAGTGAGAGCCAAATGTTCTCAGCTGTGGTATTATCTTGCCTTCAGAGGCTGTGAATATGAGCTTTTCTAACAAAGCCAGAGAGCACTGTGGTCAGCAAGTTAACCTTTACATGGCCCAGTCCCTAACAAATAAACATTAGAGGAAACATGAGCACATATGTTTTAATAATAGGAATATGATGAGTCTATTTGAGCTAAAACATATAGTACTTAAAGTCTAGTTATAGAAAAAATATAGCCCAAAAATATTACTGATGCAAATACACTTTACTTCACACCATAGATTTAACTAAAAAGGAATTGCTTTATAAAGGTAAAAATAATATAAATCAAAGACAATAGTAAGGAAAACCCAGACCAGTTCAAACAACACCAATAACGTCCTGATCACAAGTTTTCCTTCATGAAAATCATGTTATCCCAAATACCTGCATATGTGATATACGGAATTTGCACCATTATCCAGTGTCCTGTGGGAGCTGGATTGCTTGCTAAAATCTGCAATTAATGCTTTTAGTAGGCTCCAGAAACATTTTTACTTTTCCAACATTTTAGGATTGTTTTAATCCTTCATTTCAAATAAATCATAAGTAATGAAGAAAGTCACTGGCCCTTAGGAACTGATCACTTGCATCTCTGGATCATTCTATGGCCATCAATAAACTAAGGGGCTGTACACTATTAACCCAAAAGATTCATTGAAATAGAGCAGAACTGTAGGATACACTAAACCCCAAAGTTTATGGAAATACCTTGGTCAAGCAAAGATTCCCCTACAAAATCTGAAGGACTACACAACTCTGGTGTGTTTTGTTTTTTGTTTTGCTTGAAAGCAAGATTTTGGATAAGGGGAACTGAATATAAATTCCCAGTGCTTTGGCAGTTCTTCCTCTAAATCAAAATAAAATCTGAATGCAGGGACTTTGATGTAGTTGAACTTCACAGTGATTCTGCTTCCTTTTCAGATGCATGATGGTCTCGACAGTTGCTTCCACAAAGCTGTGAAAAGCAACAATGATTTTGTCATGTTTATTTTTTCAGCCTTAAAATGGAGATGGTGATAACTCCGAGTCTTTTTTAATTTCGTAGTTTCCTGCTCCACTCCAAGTTGAAAAGGAATTTGGCTTCTGTTGCAGGAAAGATCATTAAAGAAGGTAAAATATTAACCATATACATTAGGAAAACTACAGGAAATTTGTTAGGGACTTGAATCATTAATCTAGGAAATAGCAGTCTTTAAATATTTTATTGTCTTCTCCTGAAAGGATAAACATGTGTATTTTTCAAGCTAAAGGTGATTATCCCTTAGCAAGATTTATGTATAGGGGGTAATTTGATGCCACATAATAAATTTCAGTTGATGAGTCATTATTCACAAGTATGTTTTCTGTGATCTCATCTGCAGGTTATTATAATGAAACGTGAGACTGCAAACATTGTACTATCTGGGAAAAGCGAACTCACACGTGGATTTTCTTCTACCTCCACGGCAAATCTACACTGTGAATTCTTGAAATCAGAAGCAAGCCTTGGGGTTTGGGGACCTGTAATCACCACAACGCATTGGCAGTGTGCCTGCCTCAAATGGGTCTATCCATGTTGAAATAGCATATCATGGACCAATAGCATTCCATGACAATGCTTGTATTTTACAATGACTTTGCCACTGACACAGCAAGTTCTCACTTTGAAAATTAAAGAAAAATAAGGGCAAAGAAGTTAAATGCTGCATGACAATGTGATAGAGCCTGCAAAGGCACCAACCTGAACAGATTGATCCTTTTTTTGAGAGTAACCATAGCAGTGCAACTCCCTTCACCTATATTCCCCTTTTAGGGACAGGTCTGCTGTTTGTACTTCTTACACCCAGAGGTCATATTGTTTTTGTTATACCTTGTTTCCAGAAACCTTCCTGTATTTAGTTCCTCTCCTCATGTAACCCTGAAAAAAATTATTTTTACATTTTTTTCTGTACTTCAAACTAATATGCATTTCCATAGCCTGTATTTTTCGAGAAAAAGCTCTAAAATTTCATCTTATTTCTTAGAAACAATTTGCTAACTTAAAGTAGAATGCAGTTTTATCATATTATTAGTACCATGCACAAATACTGCAAATAAATTGAGTGTTGAAATCTGAGTGTGACTTTTCAAAACAAATTAATGAGCATTAACCAAAAAATGTTCTGCATATTTGTTTAAAGAAGGTCAGCCAAACATTTTTAAGAAATAAACTTTATTGTATTCATTAGATAAGGCCCATAGAGTAGAATAAACACAAATGACTTTTTTCCTAGTTTCTAAACAGTGGCAGCAGTATCTACTTAAAGTCAGTCTGAAAAATATCCTAGGTTTCTGGTATCTACTAACATTCTCAGATAAGCTCAATTTTAAAACTAGTGCATTAGCTTCATTAGTCCTGAACAGAAGATAATTTTGATGGTGACTTCTAGAAATGCAATCTATGGTTTCACATCCAAGATTTTTAAAAAGTGCACGAGTTGCCCTGTACTGAGGCCCATGACTGTGGACAGCCCCACCCAGTTAGGAAAACCAGTAGGAGAGCTGAGACCTTTCCTACAACTGCTCAGATACATAAAATTCAAATAAACACATCCCATCTAAAGGAAGGACTTGAATGCAGAACTAGGGCTGATGCCTATAGTTCACTGCTCATTGCCTTTATTCTTAATAACAGTGAGAAAGCCAATGGTAGGTAAAACGCCAACCTTTCTAATTATAACACAGTTCACTCATTTCTTCCCTGAGACACAATTAGGGGTGGAAGTGGGAAATAAGGCCTGAATGCTATCCAGGTCTCTAATATAGATAGAAATCTAAAATCGGGACCTCTAAACAGGACCCTGAGAAGTGAGCAGACATATACAGAAGCCAGGCCCAAGGTACTTCACACTCCAGCCCTTTAAATCCCAGTACTTTGTCATCACAAAGAAACATGCAACAGGGGATCAGGAAGCAGCCAAGGCCATCCCTAAACTTCCTTTAGCGCAGCTCCTGTCCTCGACCAGAGTGAGGAAAGTCACTAGAAAAGAGTGGAGATGGGAGTCAAGAGTACTTACCATTCCTGCTGCATGAGAGGAAGTAATGAAAACAAAAAAGAGACACAAAGGGACAGGGAGAGAAACACAAATGCAGGAGGGATACTGACTGCAAATGCCAGTAAGGAAGCAAGACCTTTGCATCCCAGTCAACACACGAAGCTCACAGACAAAGAACGTGTAGCATGCTGCCCACTAAGCTGACACATTACCACATGCTTCTCCTCCGTGACGGAGAACATCAGGGAACGGGGCACTGAGGAGCTGAACGATGACTTCTTGGAGCTCTGCAGTGTCTGTGGAAGAGCCCAAGCCACTGCCAGCAAAGGGGGGGTGGGGATTCCCGGAGGGCCTGTGCCTAGCCTGTGCCCCGGAGGAGCTACTGGCTGACACCTTATCTTTCCCACCACCGCCCTTCAGATGAATCCTCCACCATCACTCCTGGGCCCTTCCCTTCATTGAGTTCCTAATTTGTCAGCTAAGAGTTAATTTCTAGAGAAATTAGAGCTGGTATCTGGTGCTACCAAGAGAATTTTATCTTTGATATCAACTCCCTTGTCTTCTATTGAGTTTTCACCAATAACAAGGAGGAAGCACTGAAGCCAATGGCTTCTTAGCTGGGACCAGTGTTCCTCTGCTCCAGATGCCACAGTGTCAAGGACACTATGGGTCATGATGAGTGCATGGGGAGCATGTCGTCCTGGGTCAGCGTGTGGAGAGCAGGGCACATCCACAGAGGACAGAGAGTTACCTGTCCCCAAAAGCCAGAGTGCCAAGGTATAGAAACCCCATTGCAAACTGCACAGTAAAATAGGGTCCACATTAAAAACAAGGCTGTGAGAATAAAAAGTCACTTTATAAAGAGTTTCTACCCCTATGATACACTAAATGATGTTCTTATTTTAACATCCCTATGGCTAAAACTTAAATGGGTCATTAAATACTCAAAAGAATGGATGAGTTGGGGCTGGGGATTTAGCTCAGCGCACAGCACCTGCCTGGCAAGCGCAAGGTCATGAGTTTGATTCCCAGTACCGGAAGAAAAACAAAATAAAAAATAAGGAAAAAAAAGGAATGAATGAGTTGCACACATTTTCATAAATCAGTATCAGAGAATTCTGTCAGTAGGACCCTTCATGTTGAGAAGATGAGACTGTTCTCGGTATTTTCAGATGAAACCGACCCTGTCACTCGAGTCACTGTCCTATCCTAATGTGCACTACTTGCTTAGCCCACAGTGCTCAGGGAGTCTGGGTCTAATAACTTGGACTCACTGGGATTTACACCTCGTATCGCTTTGTCTGTGTGGGAAATTCTGGGGAGATGTGCTGCACAGTGAGCCTAACTAGCGAGCCCAGAGCTACGACATTCCACTACAGTCCCCTCTGTAGCTGTCCCTGCCATATTTTGTGAGACCCACCCTTCAAGGCAAGGCTGCCACATTAGAGACAGCAGAAGGCAAGACTCTCAACACAAGAGGCTCAAATCTATAAGTAATGATGCATCACTTCACTGGTATTCTTGACCTCAAAATACAGATGGTGGTGCTTCATAATTCTGTGCATGTCAAACAGCATGCACTGAAGTGGCCAGGGCTCAGACATGTCAGCCATGATGCCATTCCAACCGTGTTCGAACCTTGGCTTAGCTGTGGCCTGTCTGTGTGAACAAACCCGTTCTCTCCCCAAGTCCTGCTTCACCATTGATAAAATAGGGGTAATGACACCATCATTAGTGCATGGCGAGATAAATGTGGTGAGATCATTTAATTAACTGATCACCCAAAGAGGACACTTGGATTAGTAAACCAGAGAACTGTTAATGATTCAGAGGAAAAGTCAGGCATAATCCAGGGCTGCCTTAGACATCAACTGGAATGTGTGGTCACTTCACCTAAGTGAGGTATAAGTTCTTGGAACATTTTCACTCTGTAAACGGTCAGTGGAGATAGTTTTAAAAAATCATCTTTGAAAGGTGAACACAGTGTGACCCTTTAGGTGGGCTTGTTATGTGACTAACCATTATCGGCAGTTTACAGCAAGAGATTGAAATCTATATCATTATGAAAAATAAAAACAATGCTTATAAACTGTTGCAAGAGGACCTGAACTACCCATAAATATCAAACACCTCCAAGCGGGACATCCAGCTACAGTAAAGTGCTAAAGCAGTTTTCTCAAGAAAATGAGCAGAGGTGCACTAAAGAGGGGTTCAATGATCAAGTAAGATTGGGAAAGCTTGGAGAGTGCATTTTTTATTCTAAAATAACATATCACACATCAAAGTACTGAAAAATAACTCTAGAACAAAGAAATCCACACTGTCTGAGAGATACTGGCTTGCACTATGTGTGTGTGAGACCTGGGCTCCCTTTCCACAGGATGAGGAAAGGAACTTGTTGGAAGGAGGCCTGGGGTGATGTGTTTCCTGAGAGCCTGAAGCCAGTTCAGGAAGTCGGTGCTGTAACCAAAGATGCTGCCTGCCACAGGCAGTTGCGAGGTGGGAGGGATACTGGCGTACATGAGTTTGGTTTAGCAATCAAGACTGCTTAGCACAAAATGAAAGATTAAGGTCTGAATGCTGAAAATAATGAAGTTAGGCTCACTGAGAATAAAGTTAAACTGACAGCCATCACTTGTCTTGAAACAAATGAAGTAGTAACCATGTCTCTGGAGGAAACTCTGTAACTTCTGCAGTCTGATTCTCATCAGGTCTTCAACTCCACATTCAGCTCGGTCAACCCAGGACAGATGTGTGCCAGCCCTGGAGGCTGCACACTCAGCTGAGGGAATGATGAGTCGGTTTCTGCCTTGGGTAGCAGTTGGTGCCCCTCAGGACAGTCAGCCCCCAGCAAGTTAGTCAACAATTGCTGATAGATTGTTTTCTGTGGCTTCTCAAGGAAGGGGAGAATATGTCACATCAACTATGATAAACTGCTGCAATTTCACCCCTGGAGCTTCCTCATCTCTCCGAGTGAAGACAAAGGGTCTAGGGCATGCACATGAATGCTGCTTTGGCACCAGGATCTGACGCTCAGGTGCTCAGCACAGTCACACAAGGAGCCTTGAGCTATGAGCAAGTGGCTGGCATTTGTCATGATGGAAAACAAGGTATTGTGAGACTCCCATGTGGACAGTCATGCCCAGCACCTCCCCATACTCTGTATCAGCTGGCTTGGGGGTACTGGCAGGTGACCTACCCCTGTAGTGACACTGGGAGACAGTAGAGCCTTAGCATGACCTCCACCTGCCTCTTCACACTGGGTTCCCTAAGCTACAGTGCTTGGTTGAATTACTTACCCACCTTCCCACTTGGACTGAGGTCTCCAGTGGCCTCTGAAGAGTCGAATGAAGAGCAACGCCATGCCACGGCTGCAACCATTCCTGAATGTAACAGCTATCTGCTTCCTCGCCTTTCTCAAAGGTGACAAATGCCCACATCATTGTGCCTGCAGTGCACAATGGGGGGCCACCTCTTCAGACTGAAAAGCCAAGGTTTGTGAAGGTTCTGCTTGTGTGCCAGCTTCTGAAACAGGAACGAAAGAAAGAGAAATCTTCTTTGGAACTTGGCATGAAGCTTATTTGAAAAAAAGTTAAGACAATAAAACATGATGGAAGCAGCACTATTAGTCCTAGAAAATACAAGTACACATATAAGTAATATATATATTAGAATATATAGAGATTAATATAGGAAGAATATATTTGTTTCTAGAGCCATTGACACTGCTGGCATCATTTATACTTATTGTGAACATATCTATTTCTAATAACAGATTAAACATTATCAACACAAACTCTGTGCATATGATGATGCCACAGGGTGCCTCCCGGGCAGCCCCATGAATGAGCCGGCACCCTTCTCCCCAGGCCTCTTCCCCACCCCTTCTCAGCATGGTGCACAGGGTGCCCGGCGGTTCAGAGCCAGATGGTACCATAAATGTTCACTGAAGATGTGCAAGTAATTCTGTGAGCTGCATGGCTTCAGATCTCAACTCCACCGCTTACCAAATTTGTGACCTTAGCAAACTGATTTATTCTCTTTATGTTTCCATTTCTGATCTGCATATATTCATAGTAGTTTCTTCACCAATCATCGTGAGATTCAGCTGGATGGGTACGGTGGTCAATAAATGCTACTTAACGCCATAATCACTTGGGCATTTAGTGCTCTGTGCAGGGAAATACTCCAGGGGGCATGGACGCAGAAGGTAAGAAAGCAAAGCAGAAACAGATCTTTTCCTTTATGAGGAAACTCAAAATAATAAGCTCAGTGATAAATGCAGAATCATAGCAGCATTCATATTCAAGGAGAAGAGTACGTGAGAGTGATGGGGTCAGGGCTGACCAAATTAGGGATAATGGTTTCTTGAAGAGATGACAGTGGAGGCTGAGGCAGGAAGATCACAGTTTTGAGCCCAGACTGGGCAACTAAGCAAGATTCTGTCTCACAATAAAACATAAAAAGGGCTGGGAATGTAGCTCAGCATGAGGGGCCTGAGTTTAACCCCCAGTACCAAGAAAAGGAAAAACAGAAAAAATGATATCTGACAAATGGTGGGAAGAGTGAATGCGGAGGGAAGACAGGAAGAGCAGGTGCAAGACCTTGTGGCTGAAGGAACAGTGAGATTCCAGAACCTGAAGGACACCGGCACAGCGGGAGCACAGAGAGCAGAGGGGAGGGAGGACAGGGATCAGGACAGGCCAAGCAGGAGCCCCTTCCTCCAGGAATCAGTGAAAATCATAAGCAAGTTTTAAGCAAGGAAGGTGTCTTATTTGCAGTTTAAAATACACATGCTGGCAGCCCTGGTGAGGGCAGGGTGGAGAGGTAGCAGCAAGCTAGACCGAAATTCCTGGTCCAGCTACAGACCTCATGTCTGTTCCTCACTTTAAAGCTGTGCAAATCAGTACCCCATACAACATAACAGATTTCCACAAAGTTGGCAATTTGAAATCAACACATTTGCCATCCCCCTGTGTCCATGAGTCTGGGCCCAAGCATAACACCCCAGTGCTCTGTCAGGGTTTCATGGGGAGCAATCAGGGTGCTGTTCTGCCTGAATGTTCACTTGGAAGCTCAGCCGGAAAACAGTCCACTTCCAAACTCCTGGTTGCGGGCAGAAGTCATTCCCTGTGGCTGTAGCACTGAGGATTCCACATTGCACCACAGGTTCATGGCCTCCTGGGGATATTAACCATGAGGGCCTCCTCAGTGGCTGTGATGTCACAAAGCCAAGGACAGACCCAGGCCCACCAAGGCTAATATGCCTTTTAATATATCAAAATCAACTGACGGGGGCTTTAACTGTATCTGAAAAGCCCTTTCACCTTTGCCGTAAGTGTCATCTAGATGCCGGTCCCAGTTCCCCCAGGGGGACAAGACATGGGGGCTGGAATCTCCAGTGCCACCTTGGAATTTTGCCATCACTCCACCCAACATTTACATTTTTTAAACACCTTTTGAAAACAAGTTCCAAGCACAAATGGGCCTTTCTGCACAGCTCTCCTTTTAGATGTTAATAGAACATTGTGAAAAGAAGATTCCCTTTTCTGAGATCTCCAAAAGCTGCCAACCAACTTCTTCAGTTTCTCAAGGGGACCACCAAGAAATGTGGACCTCCTGACCCTCTGCTATTCTTCAGAGAGACTTTTCTGTATAAAACATTTCAATGTGCAGACAGACAGATGGTGGCCTCCACTTGCCAGCCAAGCTTTCCCTCCTAGCCCTTCAGAAGAGGCGCCCCCTGCTGGTGTCTGGACCACCAATTTCTGTCCTCCAGGGCAAAGAGAAAATGAATTCCTATTGCTTAAGCCACACACAGGCTGCTTCCCGGTGTTACAGCGCCCCTGGCAGACAAACGCAGTTGGTGAGATGAAAATGCAGTGGGTAAAAAACACAGTGAGGGGTGCATGCAGATCCAGTGTAGTGTGCAAATTTGAGATGTCCCGAGTACACTGAAAAGCCATTGAGATGTTTTATGCAGAAAAGTCCCTCAGGATGCAGGATGGAGAATGTGCTGTCAGAGGCAAGATGGAAAATGAACAGTCGAGGTGGAGGGCCAGAATGATCTTCAGGGGGTAATGGCAGCTTCAACCAGAGAGGTAACCAGGAAAAAGAATACAGATGAAGCTGACTATCTTGACTTTGTTGATTTGGCAAATGTTGACATTATTTACTAAAGTGGAGAAGGCAGGAGGATACATGTGGGGGATTGTCTGACTGACATTGGCCAAGTTGATAACCTAACCAACCGTTTCTTCCTGGGTAAAATGGAGTGAAAAACAGTGCCACCCCATCGGTCACTGTGAAGATGGCACGAGTAAGGTGTGTGAAGCGCTAGAAGTTGGATTAATCCCCAGTGAACACTGCGTTGCCATCCCCACACCATCTGCATCATCATCGTGCCAGTTCCCACCTTGAAATACAACAGACGAGGAAAGCTGGGTTCCATGTTATCAGAGACTTCCTGGTATGATTTCTCTCGCGCTAAATACAGAAGCTAAAATTACATTTAAAAATTAATTTTGGACATCCATCCAAAGTCCTTCAATGCACAAGAAGTTGTATCAGTGTCTGACAAAATTAAGCTTCAGCCGTTTATGAAGTTGCCTGTGAATGCAGAGTGGTTGGAGAAAGGTTTCCTGATATTTTCATTCATCTTCCAGAAAACAGGCCAGAAGCTATCCCAGGTCTTCCGATGGCCTGTCCTTCATGTTCAGACCCAGCTTCCACCCCTCCTGTGAAGTGAGAGCACACATTCCTCAGTTTTTGGCAGGCAGGAGCTATACACAACGCCCACACCAGCAGCAAGGGGTCTCAGGCAGTGGCTGGGCAGGCCACCCACTGGCCTCTGGTCCCAAGCTGCAGGCACTTCAGGTGGTGGTGATGGCCCTGGACACAGCTGCTTCCCAACCTCCGTATTTTAGCGACAATAATTTCAACCAATTCCTCTGGATCTCAAAAAGATTTTATCAGCTCTTAATTCTCTGTATCAAACTCCCCTTTTATCAAAATATGCAGAACAGTTTCCTACATCGAGCTGTGACTGATACACTGAGTCACACCAAGATTCTAAATTTAGCTTCAGAATTCATGAGATTTTCATGAATTAGAATTTTATCTGATAACATTTTTGTTAACTAAAATCTTCAATCTACTACCCTCCTGCTTAGTTTTCATTCTGGGCACTCTCACCAAAGAAGCTATTTTCTTGATGTTTGTCAAATGAAAAAACCTTATCACATCACCTTCTGGGTTGCCTGGTTCATAAATGATTTATTCTTCCTCACATGAGTTCAATTTTCAAATAAATCTAACTATATTCATCAAATTATTCAAATGTTTATAATCAATTTAAAATCCTTTAGAAGTTATATAATCAAGCTATAGCTTAATGAGAAATTGAAATGCCAGTATTACCACAGATACAGCCAAAATTTAATTCATCTAGTATCTACTTGTAGAATACAAATCCTACGTAAGTTGTTTCTCAAGGATATTTAGTTAAATCAAATGACCTTCGTTAAACCAATTTTTTATCAAATCTAAAAGTACCATATTACTAATTCAGAAAGCATTTCACTTACATCTATAATCAAAGCATCAGCAGTAAAGCATACATTGATTAATTCTCAGCCTGCTCTTTTTTAAGAATCCATGTTTGCAGTACATAACGATCCCATTCCTCGTGGGAGCTGGTGCATGCACAGGACACATCTCAATTTTTTTTCATCCCCTACCTTCCCCTCCTGTCTCTCCTGCTCCTTCCAACTCTTGGTCCCGTTCCCATTTGCCAAACCTCTTTGGTCTGTGCTTGATGCAAAAAATCAGATTCTGTAAGTATGCTTTTTGCTCTTTAAATATGTTCAGACCATCGCTATTAATAACTTTATAATCTGATTTAAACTGTACTTTGCAGGCCCAGATTGCAGAAAAATAAACTTCGATAAACTTAGTGTTAACTGAAACATTTATCAGATCTGCAGCTGGGTTGTAACTTCCTCAGTTCTGCAATACGTGGGTGTACAGCAGGAGAAAACTTGACCAACAGAATCCTAACAGGGGTTGCAGTCTGTTTGAGCCACAGCATCATCTGCTCACAGAGACTTCCCTTCCCAAACAGGAGGCTGCACAGAGAACCATCCTGTCAGCTACCAGCAATGCACACAGACTCTCATCCACTGGAGTCAGAGGTCAACACAGGAAACTTTACAGTCTCCTAGCCCAACTTATTTACCCAGAACTCAATGCCATGTTTTTCTTAAGGGTAGGGACAATTCTAGGTTGGATGAAGAAACAGCCCAGTGCTATCAAGCTCTATTTGAAGTAGAACTACATACCCAATAGCCACTGAGCACCTGGATCGGACATCCCCTTGGGAAAGAACAGAACCTTATTAGTGTTACCAGAAAAGTAGACAAGAAGTGACTAGAACAATGTCTTTATGTCTTTGTTCTCCACTTGTGATTACAGAAAGGAGACAGTGTCAGGGTGGACAGTACTTTCATAACCATTTGGAAATATGCTGCCCTCTTGACCTTAAACTGTCTATATTCCTCTTTATATTCAAGGACCACTTCCCTCTCTCATGCAGATTTAGTGATCAGAGACAACTCCTGTACCTCAATTACATTAGTGCATCATAGGAAACTTCACCAGATTATTCCCTTTCATGCACAAATGTCCCCACCCATAGCAATGCAATGAGGTCTTAGTATCAGACAAACACTGGCATTATATGTTCACACATTTTTAAAACATCTCCCTTCCATTAATAGCAGTTACCATCACAAGACATAAACAGTGAACCAGAGTGTTAATTGAAGGACGGAGATGCTATGAATGGCTTATGTCACAACCACGCTGCATTGAAACCCACCATCAAAACCCAGATAGTGCTATGGACAGGTGTCTGCTGATCAGCCCAGGGTCAGCTGGTTGTGCAGATTTAGGATGCCCAGATAGGGACTTCACAGCTTGGCCTGCACCATGATGAGTCTCTGTCCAACAATGATGTGACCAGCATGAGCTTGCAGCAACTGCAGAGACCAAGAGGGCGATGGCAACACACCAGCACGTGCCCAGCCTCTGCTGTTGTCACCTTCCTGCATGTCACTGCCCAGCATAAGGCACAGGGCTGACCCCCAGTCAGTGTGGGAAGGAGAAAACAGTTTATAGCAAAGACATGGATGCAAGGAACGGTGGAAAGTTGGGTCTCTGAATGCAATCAGGCTTCCACAGCTACTTCCTGCTGTGAGTTTAGCCCATTAAAATGCATGCAAAGCCACAAAGAAAGGCCATGTCCCTGCCCAGCATACTACTGGACAAATGTACGAAAGGTACAGTACTAAAAACTAAAGTTAAAAATTGTAATAGCATGTTGGGGGAAATGTTAGCATCCCTAATATACAAGAATTATATTCAGATTTGTAAGAAAAATATCAAGATTCCAATGGTAAATTCCCAAAGAAAAAGAACAAAAATTATTTTAAAAGAAATGTCAGAAACGAACAAGTTCATGAGATAAATGCTTATGCTCATCTGGATAAAACAATTACAGATACCCCAAGATAGAATTTACCCTTAATGTATTAACATAAAAATACAAACTTTAATCAAGACCGATAAAACTGATGAGCTACAACAGTATTGGAACAAAATATGACAATATGCAGAAAACACTGCAATGGAATTTTAGAGTTGCTATTGTCTTTCTTTCATCTATTCGGGGACCTCAATCACTTAATTAGAATTCTGTGAAAATTCACCTTTACCTAAAGGCCTCCCTGAGATCCCCACCAATATCTTCTCTTCCCCTCCCTCCTTTGTCTCCATAGCACATGTCACTATCTCACTATCTCTAGTTACTTGTTTGTTTATTATCTGTCTCCCTCATGAAAATAGAACCTCCATAAAGACAAGAACTTTATCTTCTTCACCCTTTTACCTCCAGATTTAAATATTTGGTAGATGAATGGATGAATGAGTACATGAATGAATGGCTAAATAAAAAGGGAGCAAAAATGCATACTCTCTTTATCAGTGTAATCATAAAGGAATTCAGAAGAAAATCTTCCAAGCAATAAAGGTTTGATTAGTGCATTAACTGAATAGCAGGAGATGGAGTCCACGTGGACATCTAACAACAAGGTTTAGGCATTGATCTTTTCATTCAAAAAATGTTTCTTAAATGCTCAGTACTCAGCTGTGCAAGTACTTTTATCTGCCCTGCTATGCTGAAGTTATTTCAGTGGAAGAAATAACCATTAAAGAAATTAGCCTCATACTAATCCACCATAATTCCAGACAATGATACTTGCTATGACATAAAAATTAGGCAAGGTTAGAGAACACAGGCAGGAGGCTGCAACCCAAACTTATCCATCTGAAGTCCACATACTTTTGTCCTTAAAGTGAAACATGTGAAATCAAACACAGCAATATATAATGAACTTTTTAATAAATGTGTATAAATGTATAATCATAGGATGATGAGTTGGAAAAACAAAAAATAATAATTAGTTTAGGTAGCAAAACTACTGAATTTTTAGTTTTCATATTCTGTATCGTTGCATTATCTTTCCATTAGATAAAAAGTTAATCCAAAAAGGAAAGGCAATTTTGAACAAGAGGAATCTAGAGTCTTTGTAGCATGTTACTCACTCACGTTGCCTTCTGGAAGAGCCTCCTAGCTGCATATGAAATAGCTTGAGTCAGGCATTCTTTCCTGTAGAGTGGGGAAATAATCTGCCTCGCTTCCTGTTTCAACTGATTCTTTGAGCCTGGTACACACAAAAACATTCAATCCTATTCAAACCAATACAGCCTCCAGAATCATCCACTACTCATTTATGGTTGAGATCTCTTATTGTAATACTTGCATTGTATATTTTATATTTCTCTTGGGAGAATTTCAGTTATCTTTCCAAGGGACTCCATGTGAAGAGGAGATGACACCCAGCTTCCAAATAACTATTACTTGTAAGGTGTCTTCTTTTCACCAGGCTTCATGCCAGCTACTTTATATACATACTCTTTCATCTTCACAGCATTCTTAAATTGTAGGATCAATAGACACAGAGAAAGATTCCAAATGGTTGTTTGTTATCAGCATACCTGCCAGCTCTGGTGTCCAGTGGGTAACGCGGGAGAAGACAGAGCCAAACCCAGCTCATAGATGAACTGGAGGATTATTTTTTTTAGAGTCTGTCATATCAGCCTTTGTTGTTTGGCCTGTCAGTGTTACCATCTTGCAGCAAACATGTGTCATATTTGGCTACTCAGTGACTTAATTCCTCTACCCTTTCCTAGTGGCACTGCCATTATCCTTTTGGGAAAAGTCCCCATCCACCATAGCTCTGGCAAAAAGGCAATGCCAGCAGACCCCTTCTACTTTGTAAGCAGGGTGAGGGGCAGATGCATCCTCATCACCCTTGGCACAGCCAGCCAGGACATCCCCTCCTGGGATGCTGCCCATCAGTAGCTGAGCACAGATTAATTAGCTGCAGAGCAGACTGGTGAAGCTGGTTCTATAGAGAGACCTAGGTTGCAGATTTGCCTGTCCATCCCTCAAAGAATCCATTTCCTGTCCATTCCCCTTGGCCAGTCCTATCCATTACATTCCTCCCAAATGGCCCCATGGTTCATTTCCATTTGCTAAAAAAGCCGGGGTTACTTCTGTTCTTGTAACTGACACCCCAAACTGGAGAAACCAAAATGTACATGCT